AAAGAAACGATACAGAAAAGACTGCATGCTGGTCGCTAAATATTATGTTTCTTTATGAAATAAACGAAAAAAGAACATATCTGAAACTATACGAACAACAAGGATCGACTATTTTCATCCCCAGCTATGAAGTTCATAGTATGAACTGCAAAGTCGGCATCGCAAAATGAAAGAAACCGCCTGGAAGTAAATCAATCACTTCAATCGGCGGCATCGGTCTCGTTCTCCAACAAGAGTGAGACGAAATGCCATGTTTCGTTCAGTTCCAACTGATTCGCTCTTTCAATTTAGAAGAACTAGATCGTTTCGTTCACTTCCCAGATTCGATCTTTTGAACTAGTTCGTTCGCGAACTACGCAGCTCTAGACTGTACAGAAGGGCCCGCCATGTCCTTGGTTTTAACTGCTGGTCGAAATTTTGTCGGTGTCACAGGCTGTCACAGGCTCATCGGTATCCGAATCCGAATCACTTAGTTCATACTCGGAAACGTCTGGTGAAAAATCCGACTCATCAGATAACACATCATTCCACAATTTTCTAAGTTTTTCCTGATCTTTTTCGTAAGACATTGTTTCCAGAATCAGCTCACTTCACTTATACTAAACAACTAACCAGAGAAAATGACTTACTGCTACGACCGTGTAGCCAGAACTGAGCAAGAATCGACGTCTGTGTTGCCAGAATTATCATCGCGAAGGTACTGAATAGATCTCGAAAGCGCACTGAATATGTAGTGCAACGTACTGACTGATTTTTTTGATTAAAAAAATTAAATATGATATATCTATATTAATATGTATATTGTATTATACCTGCTTATAACGGGTGATCATTTAAATGATAAAATGTCACATAAAAAAGATAGAATAATAGACATAGACATAGAAACTAATAAACATAGAATATATGTACCTATATGTTCACAGCTCAGTAGATATGAAATTGTAATAATCACCCTGTATTATAAAATATTTAGTAAATAATGAAAGTAACGGGTTGGAGCGTGGAATGTGGTAAATGTATGTAGAACTACAATAAAACAAATACATTTTTTTCAGAAAACATTGATTTTTAGACAGTATCTAACAATAGAAAACAATATAAAACAAATAAAAATATGTATAATAAATAAAATCTAGATTCTGTCAAACAAAACAATAACTCACGCGTACAGAGGAAACACTGCAGGGGTACGATGACGAATTAAAATAAAATTAGGTAAGTATAAAGGAAAAACAAATTGAAACCAACTTCTGGGTAAATAAAAAATGAAAAATACATAAAATATAACTATAAGTATACCAAAAAGTGACCTATTTTTTTTGTGAAGAGGAGTATTCGACGTTTCGGGATAACAAAGACGAAGTTGGCTCCCAATTGTAACAAGTATTTGGCCTCAACATTTTTTTCGTATGCAAAATATTATCGCATATACTGACTAAAAACCTATTACGTTATTTCCTTTTCAATAGCGTTAGTTGGAAAAAAAAATTGTTAAATTGTAAAAACATTTAATTTCTTTTATAATTTGCGAGTCGGGAGCTATAGACTGCAAAAATTGTGGCACATGTTCCATTATATTGAAAGGTAAATTATGTTCCTGAAGAAACATAACAACTTTGTATTCTGAAATACGAAACTGGCGCGCCGGGTTTGTTTCTTTTGGGCGTACACCAAATTTTTCTGGATTTGGCGTGTTTTTTGCTTTTTTGATATTTTGCGAGTGTTGCGCTGTTGACTCGTTACGTTTAAGGTGGGAAACATTTGCGGTAACATCTTTATTGCATGCAATGTAATATGCCGCTTTCGTTTCACTATTATACTGTAACCAGGTAATTTTTTTTCCCATGGTTACAGTTTTCTTTTTTTAATAATAGGCGCATTTGCATGCAGCGATGAATCTGAATCGCTATTTGTATTATTTTGTCCAATTAACTCTGCTTGCGAATCCGCATCAGATGATGTGGAAGGAATAACGTGTAACAAACCTGAATTATATGTTATGATGTTAAAAATACTCGTGCCACATAATTTTCTACAAACTTACTGATCCATCACGCGTACCGATCGCTAACTTGTCTAGTCTTATCTTGAAATGTAACCACCATTGAGTAGGTAGAACAATCTTGTGAATTCAATTTATCAATTCTGTGAATCTATGGGTAGAACCCACAGAATACCCCCCTAGGGGAAATATTCTGTGGTAGAACCATATATAAAGACGAGTAGAACAGCGTAAAGCAGGTTCGACAAATGGATGTTATTATTAACAGCAGTAGATGGAGCCACCACATTACAACAAAACAGCAAGCAACCATCAATAATGGTGCTGACAAATAATACAAAAAGAAAACAGGAACAGGAAAACAATTATTTTTAAATGTTCTATGCTACTGTTATAATACTAAGAAATTATAGAGAATTTGATAATCCGATCACCGTACTTAAAATGTATGGGAGCGTACTGACGTCCTTTTGGAGGGTCAGGAGTGCTGAAAAAAGTACGAACTCTGGCAACCCTAATCGACGTATATTGAGTGAGTTGATGTATCCAGCGAATGCCCACCGCGTCCGCAGTGGAAATTTGAGTGGTTATGGTGGGTCAATGTTGTCCACCATTCCTTTTTTCGCATTTTTCTAAAAATAAGTGAATTTTGCAGTAACTATATGCATTTTCTTTACGTATAAGCATTTTAACAATTCTATCATAAAAAAAAAGTTTATGGCCTTTAGGAAGTGCTAAGAAGAAGCGACCACAGAATCGTAAGAGCCACAATAAATATACGCACACGCTTGGAAATAAAAAAGCAAATCAATAAAGCTTCTCGTCCAACAGGAAATCAGCTCCAGCTCAGAAAAAATGGAAGAATACAAGGCCCAAATTAACAAACGACAAGAACCAACTGAAGATCTGAGAAATAAGGGTCTAAATGAGTTAGCAGGAAAAATTACTAGTAGCATACAAGTAGCAGCGCGAAGAGTATGTTCTAGGGCAGCAAAAACTAACACGAAACTCAGCCAGAGCTCAAACGCACTTCTAGCGGAACGTAGAAAAATGGACAGAGACTGAATAGGATACCGAGAACTAGACAAACAAGTAAAGAAAGCGATTAAAGAGGACCTAAGGTCTCATAACAAAAAGATCATCGAAAGCCATCGAAGAGACATGAATATGAACATGAATATGAAAGATCTCCGATCAAAAAGAACAAAGGGAAATTCGTTCGCATACGAAATTAAGAACCAACAAGTCGTGACAGAGACAAGTCAGACAGGGAACAGATCATATCCACTATCCAGAACTTCTACCAGGAACTCTACAGCCAATCGGCACCTAAGCCAAATCGTATAAACCAGGTAGTCCCAAATGTGGGCTCCGAGAACATCCCGGATATTGATACTGCAGAGCTGAGAATGTTACTGAAGCAGATGAAAAACTGCAAGGCCTCAGGAGAAGACCACCTTACAACAGAAATGGTGAAGAATGGGAAAACAGCTCTGGTGAAGCACTGATCATCCTTCTTAACAAATGTGTGGAGGAGGGAAAAATTTCCAACGTCAGGAG